AGTCCACACAAAGAAGCAAGATAAAACAGGAGAAACAGGGGACCAGGATACAGACCCAAAACACATTCCTGAGGAGGATGCAGCATTGGAACTCCCTGATAAGGAATTCAAAAGAATTATACTTAGGTATCTTCAAGGAATTGAGAGACAGATCAAGGAAAAGACAGAGAAAACCCTACAACTATTTCGAAAGACAACACAAGAACAAATGACAAGATAAATGAAAAATTAGAAATGACACAAAATCTACACAGAAATCCAGAAGATAAATACTAAATGTTCAGAAATAGATAAGACATTGAATGGGCAAATTGAATTGAATCGAATGAATGGAAGACAGAATTAGGGGCACTGAAGGCAAACACCTCCTGGGATTGGTTTTCTGGGTTAAAGCCTTAGGACCATAGTCTTGTGGGACAGCTGCGTCAATCTGCATGATAAGGTCCGCATAGTTCATGTTCTACATCCTAGTTTGGTGAATAGTGTCTTTAAAGCTTGCGAGCAGCTAAGATACAACTACTGGTCTCCACTCATCTGGAGCAAAAGAGATAGAAGGAAACTAAGCACTCAGAGAAGACACTTGTCTACTGGACTAACAATCTGCACAAATCACGGCCTCAACTGCCCTGCGACCGGAAGAGCTCAGCCGGGCTGCCACTCCCTCCCGTTCAGATCAGGGCCACAGTGGGTGGATCCTGACAGAACGGCAGAAAACACTGGAACAGAACACAAATGCTTAAGAATGTCTTACTTACTGGACCAGTGGAGACGAGGGGAACCCCCCAGACTATCACCCTGAGATACCGTGAACCTTGAACAGAAACTATCCCAAGGTCACCTTTTAGCTAAATAACAGCTTGGCTCATAAAACACAGAATATCCCCTGTAAGTACTGCACATCTTTAAAGCACACCTTTGACTTGAGGTCAAGCAGTCAACAACTACCGTAGAAGGGGCAGGGGCAGGGATATGAGTCCTGGAAACGGAACCACCAGGACGGGGTAAGAGTGCTGACACACTGCCAAATGGTACTAGTGTCGCTGAACAATCTGTGTAGAAATTGCTAAATGGAAACCTAATTTGTTGTGTAAACTTCCCCTGAAAACACAACAAAATACTATTTAAAAAACAAAAAATTTCCAGGACAGAAAAGGCGGGGATAGATGAGGAAAGACCGGCAGTCTGCTGAAGGCTGTAGAGTCTGAGATGAGGAACTGAGTGCATACTACACCATTCTTTTTAATTTTGTTTTTCATGTTTGAAAAATTCCATAATAAATATTCATTTGTAAAATATTTAAGCTATTTTAAAATTCTTATTCAAAAGCTTATGTCTTTTTCCTTATATATCTCACAGAGAACTGTTGGCAAGTTCAAGTTCTTCTTTCAATAAACACTTGCATTTTCCTCCATCAGTAATATGCTGTCTGCTGGTTCCTACCATGTTCCTACAAAGCCCACACTGGAGTTTGTGGACCCCAAAGAAAGTGTGCTCCCGATGCAGGGCAGCTGCTCCCCTGGACCATAACCATCCAACAAAAGCCTATCACAGGATGATAAACAAATTAATGATATAAACGACACAAGCAAGTTGGGCTGGACATTACCCATAAGGGAGACCCAGAGGAAGAATGAGGAACTTGAATGGAAAGGAGGAAAACGATGGGAAATGGAACAAGAGGCAACGAGAACAGGGAATGAGCACCAGCGCGAGGTGGGCGGCTCGAAGCAGCGCAGCGAAGAGGATGAAGAGAAAAGACCCAAAACACAGGCACCAACAAGTCCCCACTGTCCCGTGATGCTGACGCAAGTATGCTTTTGGAAGTGTTACAAATTTAAAAAGTTCAACAGGTTCACTGGGTAGAGAGGGAGAACAATGTGGAACAAAACCCAAAATCATTTGGAAAAAAAAAGGGGAGACCAGGTTTACTGGTCTGATAGAGCCTGGTGGAACCACTGAGACTGTGGCCCCTAGCAGCCCTTCAGGTCTGGAATTGAACCCACACCTGTGGCTTCCAGCCAAGCGAAAGACAGGCATATGAGTTGAACATGTACCTGAGGTAAATACACTCCTTGGAGAGAACAATCATGGGAGAAAGAAGGGCTGTGTATGCACAGGGAGACAGCTCAGGGGGCAGGAGTGCATGGAGGGAAGGACACAGGGAAGAGGAAACTATGGGGAGGAAGTGGGAGGGGAGCTCTTGCATTGTGATAAATTGTAGTCAATGTCATGAGACAACGTGTGTGTGAGCTGCTGTATGGAAAGTGAATTTGCTCTGTAAACTTTCACTCAAATCACAATTAAAAAAAAAAAAAGTTAAACAGGTTCAGAGAGTGCTGATGCCACAGAGTCAGTGCCCACTCCTAGAGTCCCTACAGGGCGGAGTAGAAGTGCCCCATAGGGTTTCCAAGACTGTCATCGTCTTAGAAGCAAACTGCCATATCTTTTTCCCACGAAACAGCTGGAGGGTTCAAACCACTGACGTTCTGGTGAGCAGCTGAACCCCTAACCACTGAGCCACAAGGACTCCCGTTCATAGATTGGATGTTCCTGAACCTCCTGTTTTCAGCAAGAGCCAGACAACCCTTCCTTACCTTGGCGAAGGTAGTAAATCACTAAATTGAGCCTCGCTTCAGGAATGACATCCACCAGGGGGGGCAAAACCTGCAAGGCCCCTTCACCTCCCCTGAACACCACCTAGAGGGAAGGAAACGCGCCATCAGGACGAGAACACACCTGCTTCAGACAGACGGAGCCCTCTCGTTGGTGGCCGCGTTCATCACAGCGCAGCCACCGCTGGTGCTCAGGCACCCCGCCCGTCTGCACAGCCCTGGGATATGTAAGTACGTCTTTGTCACCCTACCCATAACCACCTCCACTACTGCACTCCATGCTTTTACCCGTCTTTCCAGCACTTACACATTTTATCACGAATCTCTTTCTTAACCTGTTCGTCGGTTACGCCTGAGCATAAAGCTCCATGATAGGAGCCTTGTGTTTATTGCACATACTTTCAGCCCCCGAAGTGCAGCCAGTCTAGGAAGCCCTCAGTCATTTTTCAAAAGAACGAATATATTTTGACCCCACTGAAAGTCAGTCAATGTCTAAATGGCAGTAACTGTAAATAACTGTGACAGCAGGACTTTTACTGCAGACCTGCCCTTTCTCCCCTAACAATGGCAGAAAACACTTATCGCACTTGGGAACCGATGAAACTTCTAAGCAGGCATTCTACACAACAAACGCCGTGGCGGACTCTCTCTAAGTGTTCTGAGCCTGCTTTCCCACGTCCACACGGCATCGGTAGCATCCTCCTCTCAGGGTATGATGCCGGTTGGTACCGCTTCACTAATGCCGTCAATACCACGGCATCTGCTGGGTGGCTCGTTCTGTAATGGAACCGTGGAGGCCACAGTCAAGTGAGGAGAGACCGTCAACCAGCACACTAATGTGCAGGGCCTCAGGAGACAATCAGTGCCACAGGGCAAAGCCAAAGACACCAAACCATCACACAGGTCACTCACTGCTGGAAACACTGCACACAGCAAACACTGCACAAACAACTACAGGAATCAAGGCCTCAGGCATGAGCCCCCTCACCGCCTCCTCCCACCTCAAACGTCACTTTGGCCATCTTCCTTTTGTTCTTCCTGGTCTCAGATGGTCCCTTCTTCTGCCAAGGTGAAGTTCTGCACCTGTCCTCCGGACCTCGTGGCCTCTCACTCCGCCTGCACCTTCCGTCTGAAGGAACCACGGCCTCTCCAGCCTCCCGATGCTCTGGCCCCTCCCCTCAGCTCTGGCCCCTCCCCTCAGCTCTGGCCCCTCCCGCAGCTTGACGTGTCCACCAGGGCTTCGGCTCACTCGAATGCTCCACTTGGCCCCGCTGTCCCCTTGCCAAGTGCCCTATTAGTCTCCTTTCTTTCAAAGTCACATTGCAACAGTATATGGCTTACAGCTTCCACTTCCTTCTCATCTTCTCACTCCCTAACACCCCAGAGGGCTTTTGTCCTCAGCACACTAGTAAATATAGGCCTGAAAGTCACAAACCAGCCCCTTTAACCAAATCCCACGGCCTTCCTCAGTCCTCTTGCCCCCTGACGCACCCACAGCCTGGAGACCGGCTCCCCAGCACAAAATTCCTTTTCCAGGACCGCCACCCTGCTCACCAGCATTCAGCTCCGTGGTCCACATTCTAAGACCATGTCCTTGCCTAGAACGAACCCTTGAAACCTCAGCATCCTTCAAAGACCAGCTCAGTCTCCGCCACCTACTCTCACCCACGCGGATCTGTCCCTTTGTCTGTGCCCCAACCAGCTGACCCTGGGATCTACCTGTGCTTCTTTCTGAACATTTCATGGACCTAGTAGTGCCCTCCCAATAAGCATTTCCTTGAGGAAAGGGATTTTTCTATCTTAACCCCATTTTCCCTCTGGACCAGAGTGCCATCTGCTGGGCAGCCCTTAGTCCTCCTCCCGACAGGGATATGGGCCAAAGCGGACAGGATTCCCGTCTGTTACTCACCAGATTGTGCCGGATGAGTTCTTTAGCAAATTCAAAAGAAGAAGAAGCATTGTCCATCAAGCTTTTGAGTTCTGCCTGCAATTGAAACAGGAAGGGCTTATGGAAATGACAAGTGCACAGCTACCATGCCACACAGCTGCACAGAGCTTTACAGCGTATGAAGAGCTAACAAACTACTTCAATTGACCCCCATGCCAGACAGGGCAAGTGAAAAACCCAACCATATTTCCCAAGAGACACACTTAAAATGAAAGTCATAAAGAGGCTGAGGGCGATGTTCATCGCAGCACTATTTACAATAGCCAAAACTTGGAAACAACCTAGATGTCCAACAACTGAGGAATGGATAACCAAACTTTGGT